TGTTATAAAATTATGACGTCATCGACCCTGTTTTTAGAAGAGAATTTTTTGAGGGACTATTTTTTTTTAAATGAAAAATGTTCGTTTTTAATAATTTCCATTACAGTTTGCTGTAAGATTTTACTGTAAAATATTTTATTAACTGTTCTATGTGAAGAACAAAAATTTTTTGTGAAGAGTCCGTTTATAGACCTCAAATGCTCTTAAAACAAAAGATTATGAAATTTTAATTTCGTTTCCCAAACAAGTGATTGAGTTCCGCAAGTTATATTAAGCAGATTAATCTTTTTTTTTTAGAGTAGAAAGTGTTTGTAATAGATATGATTATAGTCTGAACCAGAATAACTAGTAATTACTTACAGATAAAGGCAACACGCATTATTCTATTAAATTGTGTCATTGTTTTATCTTTATTTTTTTATCACTGAAATATTAGATAACTTTTATCGATTAAGTAATAGGTTTACATCCTGAACAGTAAAGAAAATTTTATTTCTTCAAATTTTTTTACAGTTTTATCGAAGAAATAGGATAAAGGAGGTATGTAATAATTTTTAGAAAGTCTTAATTATAAAAAATATTTTTTTTTTAAAGAAAGATTCAATTTTTTTTCCTTTACTGGTATAATCGTTTGCGAAATTTGGTTGTCAGAATTAATTAAGTTTGCAAAAAGATACTACACGTGTAACTTAGCCAATAAGAGACCGTTTAAACAATTCGTGAAAGGGGATAGAGGGGGTTGTGATTTTCTTATTTTTGGTGCCTAAGAGAAGAATGGGTATGTGCAACTATTGCTTACGTAAAAAAAAAAACCCTTATTTTCAGCAATGTATTAAAATCCATATAAAGTGTAACAGTCATTTGGAAAGAAAAAATTAAACTTGGATAAAAGTAAATTTGAGGAAAGGAAAGGTTGAAAAAAAATTCTAGTTGTTTAATATTGACCACAGAAGGAAAACACAATATTCCTAAATGGTATAATATTTTACTCAAAATTTTATTAAACTCATTAAAAAGTAAATTATTTTTATGCCAAGTTTTATCTTTTATTTGAATTTTATCTTAAAATTAGATTGCTGCATTGAATGTCGAATTTAAAATAAAGAACATGGGGTCGGAAGAATTTTTTGCGTAATCAAGGGTTTTCTCCACCCATCAAAAACTGGTGGATTTTTGCATCTCAAAGTAGAAGTTAACAAATAGTTATTATTTCATTGCAAATTTATTATAACGCAAAGAATTTTAAATAAAAAATATGTATTTTTTTTATTATAACGCAAATACTCATAAACACAAATTTAAAATTATATGGTTTCTTCTAGTTGCGATTTTTTTCAAATCTCATTGTGTTTTTTCATTGGTTTCTTATATATTTTTTTGTTTTCTTCTCTTTAAAAGAAAGGACTGAGTATTGGTAGATATTTTAGATGAACACTGTTGGTATCTAATTAGTTTTCTAATTGATTAATGACAAAAATCACAAGTATATTTAACATGAAATCGATAATGATAGTACGAGTTTCCCTATATTTCGTTGTTCATCACGTTGATGACTTCACTTATAATGATATAAGAAACAAATCTTCAGCTGCAACTTTTTATTATGTGATTTAAGCAGCACAGAACAATTCACGCATAATGGACAAATAAAATTACACCCGATATAAAACTACCAGACATTCATGTCTCTCCTACCTTAAGTCCAAGATGGAAGTGAAAAGTTTAGTTTTCTGTTCTAAAAGTGTATTCTTTTTAGAGGATATGCGCCATCTATCGGCAACGATTCTTACAATGATAATAATTATAACAGATTTTACATTATATTCGCAACAATATTAGTTTGGAAATTATCATCAAAATGTGAAACTAGCCCTAAATTCAATATTGAAGTAATGTAGAGGAGCGCAAATAAAATAAGGTAAAATTCTATTTAAGTACTTAAAAAAATAATTTTTTAATATGTTCAGAAAATTTAAACTATTATTTTTGTTATAAATTACGAAAATTATTAAAAATTTAAGAGCCGCCCTGCAATGGATGCAAGGAACTAACACATGCGTTTTCGATTGAGATAGTTTTTCGAATCTTTCACTACTCGGTGTTAGTTTTATTCGAAATTTTGAGAAGAATATTTAAAACGAAATTAAGTATACGCTATCACTCATGATTTTTAAGGGAGGGGATGACAAAATTATAACCATCAAATCATAATTAGCGAAATCTTGTTTCCCCCCCCCTCCAAAGACTTGTTATAATTTTTTCGGTCTCTTTTGCGTTTGTTTCTCTAAATCACAAAACTTGTATAAAATTTGCGGAATTCCGGAATAAAATGTATATTAACGATAAAATAAATAAATAAAAAACGAAGCGATAAAGTTATATTACTAGAACTTAAGTTATTTGTCTCATTCGCTAATGAAACTCTGTTTCTATATTTAGATTTTACATTTCCGCTTTATTGTAAGTTTTATCTTTAATAAACCTGTTGAGATATCTTTTGGTCGTAAATTTTATGACTTGTAAGTAAGTCACTATGATTTTTCACATTTCCGCATCCCCCTTCCCCTCCCTCACATTTGATCTATACTTGCGTAGATTCCCAATACTTGTGTAGAACTAAAACTGTTTTGAATTATTAAATTTTAGTTATCTGCATCGCTTGTGTTTTCTGTACTTCGTTTTTATGGCTGTGGATGCAGCTACTTACGCTGCTTTGGCTGGTTAGTGGCGAAAATTTATTACGTAAATTATAAAACTTGTTCGAAATCACTCTTAGTTATTTGTTTATTTAAAATTTTATTGTTTTTGAATGGCTTGTGTAGTTTGTTTGAATAATTTCGTCTTTCCATGTTATTTTAGTTTTGTCGTGGTTAGCCTGCATTTTGTTAATGGATTATGCTATTTTAATACACCTATACTGCCGTACAATAGAAAAATTAACGTAAGCGACATATCCGAGATTTTTTTTTTATACATTTAGCATTTTCGTGTGATGAGCTGCATGTTGCATTAGATTTTTATTTCAAAATCAATTTTTTTATTAGTTCTTTAAAATTTTATTTTATCGTTAGCAAACAGAACGAAATAGTTATCAAGCCGCTTTTCTTGGAACTCTATCATGAAGCACGTAAATGTTTCAATTGCACGGCAGTTATGCGTCTTTTTGAGGAGATTTCCGTATCGTGATCTGTGGCAGAATATTCGCCAAGTCTTGGCAACTTTCGGGCAGCGGCCCGCAAGAAACTATTAAAAAAAAATAAATAGAAAAAAAAAACATCACAGGAAACACTCGAAAGGTATAACCCATAGCTACCCTCGGGTGGATATATTTCCGTATCGTGATCTGTCTCGCCAACTACAATCGCCAAGGTCGCAACAAATAGATTTTAAACTTGCAAATTTAAAAACAAAAACATGTAAATGTTTGCCCGGGGGTGGCTACGAGTATACCTTTTTTTTTAGTATACCTTTCGAGTTGGTATTGCTTTTTTTTTTAGTTTATCGCGAACCTCTGCCCGGAAGTTTCCAAGACTTGGCGGTTATTCTGCCACAGATCACGATACGAAAATCACCACACACCGGTAAACATCTACATGTTTTTTTTAAAAAAAAACACTTGCAAATTTAAAATCGAATTTACACCTTGGCGATTGTAGTTGGCACGACAGATCACAATAAGGAAATATCCGTTATATAGTCTTTTTTATTCATGACTTTTAAAAATACTTTAAGAATTTTAGTTTGTAATTCTTTAAATCCTCCTAATCTAATTATATTATAATTAAAATATTATTCGAAATTGAACCAGAATACTATATTACTGTATTAAAAGTTATTTAATGTATGATGTAAAAATTTGTATAGCTTGCAATTCTATGTTTGTCCGAACATTATGAAATAAGGTTATAAATAATTGTTAAATCTTTTTTTTTCCCATGGAATTATCTTAAGGTAAACTAATTTTAAAGTTGTGTGTAAATATTTTTCGATTTGCTTCTAAAATTCTCGAGATATAGCAAAATACGTAAAACTGGAAAATTTTTATTAAGAAGTTCTAACTTTTGATCATTCTTTTGTCGAAACTATTGGGTCTATCCCATCCCCTGCCCATATTTTGAGAGTTAAGAATCCGTAGGAAAGAAAAAGGTATTATTACTTAAAGAAGCTTTTGTAATTTAAAATATTGTCTGTTAAGTAGCTTGTTTTAAGTTATGCTTTTGAATTATTTAGATTGAGTTTTACGCGAGAATCCTTTCTTTAAATTAAAAGTAATTCAAAATGTTAAATTTTTTATTTTGCGCTTTGTTCATCGCGTAGATTAAATAAATATTAGGCTTCCCTTATGAAGGCTGTGAAAAAAGTTCTAGGTTTCAATATCCCAAATCGATTTTTAAGTAAAAGTTTATTAATCTTGTAATGAGCATTTTAGTTGTTTAAATATAAAATGGTTGAAACCTTTTTTTATATTACCTTAATTTTATTTGCTAATTGCTTAAATATATTTAAAAAATTTTTCATTGTGAAAATGAAATTGCACCAGATTTATGGTTAATACAAAAAATCTCAACATTGTAGTCAGTATGTCTTTATGTGTTTCTTTTAGATATCTCATGTTATTGTTGCTTATCCTCATCTGGCCTGGCGAAGTCAGACCAAATCGTTGAAACCCGTTGACCTTAATGAAATCGAAGACCAAAAGAAGAAGATATCACTTAAAAATACCTAATGCTAAATTTTGAGTTGTGTGTCTCTCTCTTGTGGCAAGCTAATGCTAACATCTATAACTCATTTAAAAACTTAATTACACCCAGAGCCTGCAAATAAAAGCATCTAAAAGCTGTTATCAGAAAAATATTTATTTTGCATTGAAAATGTTACTTTAAAAAGATAATGAATAAAATGTTTTGAAAATTTCACATTACATGCTTTTTCAATGAGTTCTGTAACAACTGTTGTTACTTTTCCACAATATATCTTACATGTTTTTCTTTATATTTCAGGCATTTAATGTATGTAATCAGTACATGACACCATCATAATAAAAGATGAAGCTCATGGTAATGGACGATCAGCATAAAATAAAATGGACTTTATACGTTGCTCTAACATCTCTGTTTTTATTTATAACTGTATCTGAAGTAAGGCATTTTACATCTTTAAGAACAATATTCATATCTGAAACTCATCTACCTTTACAAAAATATGTCATTGTTTTTGATGGTGGCAGCACTGGTACTAGAATTCACGTATTTTCATTTGCGACAAGTTTAAGTAAGTCTTCATGCATTTACTTTTTCATATTTTACTAATTTTAAACTGTTAGCTTACTTTTCTTCATTCAGTTTTAACAGTTTTAATTACAAAAGTCATAATTAAACTTTTCTGATGTTCGAATGTTATATGCATCTGGTTTAAACTTTATTTACCAATAGAAGATTCAGTTTATATTTTTGAGAATGTTATACAAGTCCAAAATTAAAGGTTACAATTTATTTCATATTTATCAGAGTTTGTTGGTTTAAATCAAATGATTTTTTTAAAAAAATCATTGATTTAAATCAACTTTTTTTTAAATATATATATTGATTTAAAAAGTTAAGAAACAGTGTTTTAAATTATTGATACTTTTATTATTTCTTTTCTTAGTTTTAAAATTTATTATTGCTGCATTAATTAACTATAGCTAACAAAATTACTTTCCTTCTTGGTATGTGTTAAATTCCAACACATTTGAAATTGCATTTTTAAAAATCTTTTGATTCTTGAAATTGAAGGTACAGATTAAAGTAAACATTTAAGTATTTTTTTCTCATAATATGTTTGCAGTATCTTTGACATTATCAGATTTTCTATAAAGAAATTTTGTATAAAAAATGTTATATAAAAAAAATTTCAATGAGTACATCGATTTTAAATTTTTTTTTTAGCTTAACTTATCTATTTTGATATAGGATTAAAAATTAATATTTTGATATGAAAATATTTAGATTAAATATTGATTAATTTTTTTAAGAATGACTACATTTATAAACACAATCTGTTACATTTATTTTATCATTTTAAAAATGAAGAGAAAAAGAAAGAAATCACAATTTTAAATTAAAGTTATGATTTGGTAATTGAAACTTTGTTTTAATAGTTGTATTCTTTAAATTCTCTATTTCATCTAGTCTTCACATTTCAATCATGCATTTGTTTCAAAGTGGCTGCTATGCATTCAAAGCTGTGTGTTATAATGAAAAATTGTTTCTGGTAGTTAGAGCTTCTAAAATATTCTTATAATGTAGTTTTAATATTAATTTAATTTTGATTAAGCATTTATAAAGTTTTTTTTAGTCATAAATCAAAGTTCTTACAGTGCATTTTAATAATAATAAAAAAAATCAGATTTAAAAAAAAAAAAAAAAAAAAAAACAGGAACCCTGGTATTAATATTTATACCAGGCTCCTAACTGTCCTAATATTAAAAAAAATATTTTGTCATTATTGCTTGATTTTTAACTTTTTATCATGATAGAATATTCGATTTAAAACATACTATTTTTTGTGAAATGCAAATTTTAAAACAATCCATTTGAAGACTTTAAAGATTTGAATTTTTAATCTGTCATCTCTTTTATTTTAATTAATGATGCAAAATTTGATCAATCAAACTTGGGACTTGTTCATATTTTACATACTTGATTTTGGCTTCTCAAGATTTAGTATTTAAATTTTTTTTTTAAAATTCACTCATCTTATGAAAAAGAAACTCAATTAACAATTTCCCCTAATCAAATTTTTATAGTGAGGACTTCAGGGATCATACATTTATTATTTTAACAAATGCAGTTACAAATCGTGTAGGGTGGAGTTCGGTAGTTTCACAATTATTGATTCGTCTTTTTCATCCGATTTTAAAAATGATTCCTGTCAACAGTACCATAATCATAATAAAGAATTTTTCAATAATGAATACGGTCTCCGACAAACTTATTGTACAAAAATATTTAGCAAAATATTCACTGTGTTTTCATTTCGAGATTATTGTAACCCTACATTAAAATTAGTTGTTTAAGGAAGTCTTGAACTTGATGACAAATTTCAATTAAATGTTAGCATGATGGAATATGAACTTAATATTGATACTGGTTAATTTTTTACGTAACATTGATGTAAAATTCTTCATTTATTGATCTCAAACTGTTATGTCCCATTAATGAAATAACTGGAAAATTAAAATTTTCTGTTCTAAACAAAATTATTCTGAAATTATAAATAGTATATTTTATTATTCTTTTGCAACAAAATTTGTCTTTATCATACTTTATCTACTATGTTTCATCCTTTATCATTAATATTTATTTGAAAAAATAAAATAAAATTTAAAAAAATACTTAAAAAAATTTTGACATTGCATGCAGGTTTTATGTCTATAACTGTGCCATTGATGATTTAAAAGATTGGTTTAATCATTTAAATTGATTAAACTAATAATTAAATCACTCAATAAATTTATTTCATCAATTAATGATGAATTTAAATTGCTTCATTTTCAAATTGCATGTTATTGATATATAATTGGGTTTTGTTTTCAGGTGGCCATTTGACACTTAAGAGTGAATATTTTGAAGAAGTTAAGCCAGGTCTCTCTGGATATGTTAACAATCCTCATGAAGTAGGACATTTTAAATACATTTTGTTTCATAAATAAGTAATTTTCAAAAAATGCTAAGTAAGTTTAAATAAATATTCAAATTCAAAAGTTTCTTTTCAACAAATATTTTTACAGTAAAGTGTTTAAACTAGTTTTTATAGAATTACTATGTATGTCTATAAATAAACTGGTTTCTTAAACTTCAACTCACTTTTTTTGCATTGATTGATAATACATTGATAGTTCTTTAAATTAATAAAAACAATGTCAATGTGCAGCATATTTATGAATACGAAATATAACTTATACTTTTGAATTAAAAAAAAAGCATTTGAAATTTTACATTATACATTACTTTACCTACTTCAAAAATATAAATTGTAAAATTTTTACTTTTTCTGTGGGAAAATTTTGTATTTAATTTTCACTTTGTATAAATTATTGATTACTGAGAGTTGGGCCGACCGCCCAACTGGAACATCTGCTCTTGCACCCCAGAGACCAAAGGTCAAGAAAACTGATATGAGCACAGTAGGCCTTCTATGGGCTGTCGTGCCACTGAGTTTAGTTTAGTTTATAAATTATTGATTACTATACTTTTTAATTATAGCTTTAACTTTGAAATAAATTTTTTAAAATTTGAGCATGCTTTGTTTTAAGAGAACTTTCTTTAAAAAAATAAAAAACTGTTGAAGGACTAAAATATTTTTATATTTTCAATTAGTACTCTAAAGCTTGAAATGTTGAGTTTTTTAATGTTTTATTGACATTAGTTTGAACGCTCTTAACCTATTTCTCACACATATTTTGTGCTTTTCCCAATTGACTTTTATATTTAAGGTGAGGTCCCAAGATTTGCTTTGTAATTTTCAGTTCATCAGTTAGTTATTAGGTTGTTTTTGATATTCAAAGTATAAACACCTTAATTTTGATAAATTTGTAGTGTATCTGCTTCTACAAGAATACAATTCCAATTCACTAGTATCTAAGACATGTTAACTCAATTCTATGTTGGGGTACCTTTTCGTAGATGAATGTTGGCATTGGCGATATGACTTTCCCTCACAATTATAACACATTATGTTTATCAATCTGATTAAACTTTAAGAATGCATCTTAGATAGTTCATAGATAGTTCATAACAAATTGTAAAGTAGACTTGAGTAATGTATTGTTGAGTAATGAAGACAAGGGGAACAAGATTAAATACTTTAGTTTAACTGCTTTTAAAACTTTGAAAAGGAAATAAACTATACAGAAGAATTCTACACTGTCATACTAAGAAGTAGTGATCAATTTTCTAGTAAGCAAACTTATTTACCAATTTATAGAGCCACAAAGACTGAGTTTAAACAAGCATGAAGATTTTAAAGTTATTAATTCCTATATAAGTTTAAGTTTTTGTTAATTAATTCCAGATTTAGAGAGAAACTAGTGTACCAAGCCTTAACTACACCACTACAGCCAAATTAAGCCTACTAAAGTCTATTCAAATTTAGAGCATATTTTTGTTATTAAAAAACAATAATTCTTCAAAATCTTTGTTAATAAATACACATAAATCTGTTAGCTGGGTACCAGACAGAGCTTTAAAAAAAATCAACCAAAGAATTTTATATTCTAATTTATTTTTTTGTAAAAATTAGTATACTTAATCCTTAATCTTATAAGTTAATTTGTTTAGTGAATGCTTAGGCTGTATTAATAATTTCTTTTCATTACTTTGAAGGCAGCCAATAGTGTTATTCAACTGTTAGAAAAAGCAAAAACATTAGTTCCTCTGGATAAATGGTCCGAAACTCCCGTAGCACTAAAAGCAACTGCTGGTCTTCGTCTCTTACCTGATACTGTGTCAAACTCTCTTTTAGAAGAGGTAAGAAACTTTAAAATATTTTTATTCATTTTTTAAGCATTAAAATTTTGTATTTTACTTAAAGCAGGGCTGAATGTGCTTCGGAAAATATCCGAATTTCTGGAAGTTTCACCAACAGTGATCCTGAAGTTTCCGGAGATCGAAGGTCCAGACTTTCAAAAAAATTATTGATCACAGAAGTTTCTGGAAATCAAATTTTCAAAAGTGGAACTTAAAAACACAGTTAATTTTATTTGTTTGTAAGGGAGAGCCAGAGAGATACTTTATAAGCTTATATTCATGATTAATATTCATTTTTTATCAGTAAATAGTTATAATCATAAACTCAAGAAAGAAAGACATATTTGTAAGGTATAGGTATGTGTAAATGGTATAGGTATGTATAAAATTTTAGATATATTTTAAGCAAACTAACAAATATTAAGAAAAAGGAAAAAAAAAACCTTGTTAAAATTTTTTTACAATTTTTAAATTTAAACTGTTTTTTTTTTTATATTTTGTTTATTTATTTATTTTTTTTAAACTCACGAAATTCTCTGGAATTTTGACTTGGGCTCACAATCACCCCTGTTAAAGTAATAGCTAATATTTATTAAGAGGACGTCATACCACAGAAGAAAATTTTCTTTGCAAATTATCTTTTTCCTTCATTAATAATTTAAAATTTAGAGTGTAGAAAAAGTGAATTCAAACAAACGTAGAGTAAGCCATGAAGTTTCAAATACTAAAAATAAAATTTTAAAATATACAAATTAAAATAAATCATGAGATGATAACTTAGGATTTCAAAACGGAGAAGTTCTCGTCTAATAATTTGTTTGCATAATAATATTTGAAGTATTTTTTTCAGCAATTGAAATTTCATGACTTACTCTAGGTTTGCCTGAACTTACTTTTTCTTTCTTTTATATTTTAAATTAATTATGAGGGAGAAAGATAATTTGCAACGAAAATTTTCTTCTGGGATATGACGTCCTCTTAACAATACTGTCTGAATCCTTTTTATCCTAAAAACTATATATTTTAAAGTATAATGAAATAAATACAAGTAAAAAATATCTTTAAATGTACATTGCATGACTTAAGCATCACAAGAACAATTAGTCAATGTAATTGTGACTTATGATTACATGATTACTTGTATTTAAGTTTACATACAATCGGGAATTATCTCATTATAAAATTTGATTATGTTCAGTTATGAGAAAATAAATACATTAAACATGCTGAGTCAAATTTGTTTCTTACATAACTTTATTTATTCAGAATTTTTTAAGCTAATGCGTAAATGCTTTCAATGTATTCGAATTTTAACTATAATTCACTTTATAAACTCTTTTTTATTTTTATCATTGTTTGTTTTACTTTTTCTTTGATATCTAATTGAATTTTGTAATATGATTTTTAAAATTTAATATGGAATATGAACTTTTTCTTTAAAAAACATGTAATGCTTCATTTTCAGGTTTATAAAGCTTTTGACAATTCTCCATTCCATTCTAGTGATGATTGTGTGACAATATTGTCTGGAGAAGATGAAGGTATGAACTTTTTTTCTTCCTGTCAATTTTACTAGCAGAATTTTTTTTTAACATTGTTATTTTTACTTCTGGACAAATTATGGTTATTAGGATTTCGTAATAAATTTTAAAATCATGAAATAAGAATCATTTAAAAAAAATAATTTCAAGTAGTCCTAATATCTAAATGTTACGAAGTTTTCATTATAAGTTCTTTGGATATATGTTGATCATCTTCTTTTTATAAACTTTGTATCATGATTATAAACTGACTTTGCTGACACATAGTCTGGCAGGCACGCTATTCCAGAGTGCAGAATAAAATTTTATGTAAAGGTATTATAAGCCATGTGCTTCAGAAAATTGTTAAAAATGATTATTCAGCAATCACAGTTTAGTCTCATACAGCTGCAGAATTATGAAATTTATTAGATTAATGAAATTTATTATATTAATTAACATAATTTTCTATTTATAAACTCTGTATCGTGATTGTAAATTAACTTTGCTAAGATATTGTCTGGCAAGTACGCTTTTCAAGAGCGTAGAATACAAATTTATGTAAAGGTATTATAAGTTATGTGCTTCAGAAAATTGTTAAATATTATTATTCAGCAATTACAATTTAGTTATGCTACAGCAGTGTTTCCCAAACTTATGACTTTTGTGTACCCTTTCTAAATTTTTCGTAACGCTGTGAACCCCTAATAAGAAATGAATGCATTTTTTACTATAAAAAACTCCACAAAAGTTTAAAATCACACGTGACTGTTGACACCACTAATTATTAACTGTTAACTCTGCAAAAAATAGCTAATAGAAAAATACATAATCGCAAATTTTCATGTTTTTAAATAAAATTTTTTGAAATTTTTGTTTGTTGCAAGATATTTTGCGTAAGAACGCGTACCCCAGCTAAACTATTCCTGTACCCTTGAGGGTACGCATACCACACTTTGGGAAACACTGTGCTGCAGCAACAAAATTTTGAAATTTTCAAGTGGCACTTACTCTTTCTTTTTCATTAAGATAATGATCCTCACATTAAAAAAGAAAAATAATTGTTTTCTTTTTACTTCTCCAACTTCAATATGTTTTTTACTCTGATGATCCTGTTCGGATTAAAAATATGCGGGTATTTAAAAATTTTTGAACATAACCATAACCAAGAGTGGTATAATTGTTTTTAACATTTTTGGGTGCATACCTTAATAAATTTAGCAAAATTTTACTCTCTTGAATGGTATGCCATGCTCACTATGCGTGGTATGCTGGCAAAGGTATGTTATAATCATCCTGTATAAAAATAATTAAACTAAAGTTTTTATAACTGTTACTGTAGAACTTTGATTTTTCAAGTACTGATATTATGAATGAAGATTTTATGAATCACTGTTCATGTGCTTAATAACTTGCATTGTTTATAATTTTCATCAGCTCTGAAATAAAATTTTCAATAAATAAATAATAATCAAATAGCTTTTGGAAATGTAAGGATGTTACAAAAGTAACAAAATGGGTTCAATTTGTTGAAAGAGGGATATTAACAGATTGTATTTGATTTTTTCTTCTGTTTAATATTAATTAAAAATATTTTTATTTGTAATTTTTATAAAATTCAGAAGCTAAACTCTTTACATTTTGTTCCACAGTATTTTCTATTGATAATAATAGTCCAATATTTTTTATTAAATCTATTTGCTAATTTGTATTATTCTATGGTTAATTCTATCTACTATGTGTATTTATGTCTTTCAGTGTATTCAAATGATTAAGGGGGGAAGCACTATTAAAATAAAATAATTTTTTTTTTAATTTCTAATTTTGTTTTAAGTTTTTATTCACATTTCATTATCTAAAATTTGTCATCACATTTAATTATTTCTTTTAGGTCTATATGCATGGTACACATTGAATTTCCTTTTAGGTATGTTAATATTTTCGCTACCATTTTTTTGTCGATAAAAAATGTACAAACTATATTAAATTCTGTACTTGGGTTATTTAATATTCATTAATTATCATTCAATTTTAATTTTATTTTATAAATATAATAATTGGCAATAATAATATAATAATTAACACAAAATAAATCTACTTTGTGTCTTTCATTGTTAAGCTATATAATGAGAAAGTTTACATGATTGTTTTTCAAGTTCTTCAATTGTTAAAAAACTGATTATAAATCAGTAAAATATTGAAATTTATGTATTTTATATATTAAGAAAATATTTTATGCTTTAAAAACTCTTTACAAAATTTAAAATGTGTAATTCGATACTTAAATCATCTTTATTAAGGGTATTTTAAAACTACAATTTTAAAAGTTATTAAAATATTATTGCAAATAATAAAAATATTTGTTTTTATTTTAAGAAGTTTCATTGCTCTAGATTTCTTTTTGTTGAATTTTAATGGGTTTAAACACAATTTTTTTTTTTTTACTTGAACATTTTGTACAACACTCAATGAACTCAATATTAGGTATATTTTGGGTTCTCAATTTAATGTTGGGGAGAAAGTCTAAGGAAAGGTTTGATCTGTAACATCTTATTAGGATCATTGTTTGAATGTTATTTTTTCTCTTTGGAATTTAAAAATTCTTTTAAATATATTTTCAGTGCTCTTGTTTTTAATTAAATCTGTTATTGTGAATACCAGAGAATTCTTTTAAAAACAATACTGTGATTGATAGTAGCTGGTTTTTTTTAGAAAATCCTTTTTACAAAGTAAATGTTTAGAATATATGTCAAGTTCATAAAACATGTATCATAATTCATTAAAAGAATTAAGCATCCTTATTCCATTTTTTTAAGAATTATAATCATATTTGTTATATAAAATTACGATGGTAGTATTTTTTTTTTGCATAATAATTTATTTATATGCTTTGTCCAGTTTCTGTTTCTTGCATAAATAGAATTAGTATGATGATGCATGCATGATGAGTTATTTTATTTAAAGGTTTTCTTTTTCGATGCAGAGGTGTTTCTAGGCATCTTTTATATTCCTAAGCTAATTTAGATAAAGACATTGGTTTAAAGGTTAGGATATCATTTGTGTAAAATAATTATAATTGTAGTATGTTTTTGCTATTTTTTTAATGGTCCCTTGAAAGTATTAATATTTTTGTGTTTCTTATATGGGTTATGAAATAAGTATTGCAATATTAACTATGATAAATAAGTTACTGTCGTCCAATTTTAAAACTTTGCAAACACCATTTTGATTTTACATGTGTGAAAATAACTTTTGTTTTAGACAATAGCTTATGTTTTGTTCTGATTTTTTACCAAGAAGAGAAAATATGTTATATAAATCATTTTTATTGTAACACATTTTTGCTACTGGACAATTATTGAATCTGAAAAAAAAATTAATTTGGTGTTATAAATATTTCAGGTAGACTAAATGACGCAAATCATTCAGTTGCATCGCTAGATTTAGGAGGAGGCTCAACTCAAATCACTTTTTCGCCTGCTACACTCGACACTTTGATCTTTAGTCCCAAAGATTATATTCTTTTACCTCAAGTACAAAATAGAACTACGACTATATACACTCACAGGTAAAGTGATTTTAATTTTTAAATTTTTCAGTATTTTCTATAAATTCTATGTTTAACTTTTAGAGTTGCTTAAATTTTGATTTAGAGTTTTTTTTTGTATGCTTATTTATAAAACATATTTTGTATGTTTATAACAAAAAACAAATTATGAGAGGAAAACATTATGCTAAATTAATGAATAATTTCAATATGAGTTTAATTAATTTATATGTTTTGATTATACAGTTAAAAAGTTATAAGATGAAATTATTGTTGAATAATATTAATTAGATATCATTTAATGCTAAGTGTATGTTTAAAAATGGTGCTTGTGAATAAGTTCAATAAGTTTAAGAGGCACCTTCTGTGTTTCCATGGCTTATTTTAGTGTTTTATTCGATTGTCCTTTTTCTAATCCTTTTTTGAAACTTAAACTCAGACTGTTCCTCAAATTTTCTTAATCCATTCATAGAAAAATTACTAATTTTTTCAATGACAATCAAAAGATGTTTTGGCACAATTGCAGAATAAAATAATGCTGACATATAATCATAAGCGTATTTATTTTTTACTATATATTGTGATGCAATCACATTTAAGAACATTTAGAAATGACATACTCTTTGTGCACATCTTTTTTACATGACTAACCAGCAGTGTTTGAAAAAAATCTTACGTTTTTGAAAAAGTCGCTAATTGTAAAAGTAGCTCCAAAAAGTAGTTTTTTTTTAATATTTAAGTTGTGTTTTTAATTTTTTTGCAATAATTCTGAATTAAAATTTTGAATATAGTACTACGAATTTTTATTCATTTTTTTTTATATTCCATTTTTAAAAACAATATATTGACTAATTTGATTAAGTGATATTTTGAAAAGGAAACAAGTGTCAATCAAAGTGCTTACTGCAGCCCAAAAAGTTTTATTACTTTTTTTCAAATTTGTCAACTTTCAGAGATTTTTGCAAGTAAATTTTTTTTTTGTGAATCTAAAGTAGGCAAGATTAAAAAAAAAAAAAAAAAAGGTAATCAATAGTTCAGCTTAGAATTGTTTTTGAGATTCTTTCAACAGTAGACACTCTTTTTAGAATTTCAAAGATTTAACCTTATTTTTCAATTAGGCAATATTAAAGCAGAACAGATTAATATATGTCTGAAAACATAAACAATATTGATTTTGTTCTAGTTTTAAACCACCAAAAGTAGAAGTTATAAGTTTTAAAAGCTCTGGTATTTGAATCTACATAAATTATCAGTTTCATAATAATTATTCATAATTAATTATCAGCTACTACAAAATAACGATATTCCTCCAATTTCTTTTTACCATTATTATCTGGGTAGAACCTTTTGCAATGAGTAAATAAAGCTTAGAAAATAATCCCCATTAAAGTTTGCATGACTAAATCAAAATGTTTTTAAATTAAATTCATGATTTTTCTAAAGAAAGTAAGTCATTTAAATCAACCTATTCTGCTTCACAAAGTTTATTTTTAGTGGTTAGTGAGATGGATTGTAGTTGCTTCTGTTTAAAAGTTATTATACTTTTTCAAAAAAATGTATATTACTTTCATGCAATAGCTTTTCATTATTTTATGCCATGTTGTTATACATTTCATTAAATTATGTTTTTCAAAAAACATACAATCACAGAAAATTGTAATCTTTTTCAGAATATCAAAAATCTTTTTTCAGAAAAAATTATAAAAAAATAGTGGTATTTTGTTTTAATTCTATACATTTTAACGTGTAAGTTCTACCTGTTTAAAATAAAAAGGAGAAAGTAGTTCTCTGTTTTTTAGTACTAGGGATAGCTTTTCACCATAAAAATATGAAAATCACAGTTAAAATTTATTTAATATTATTGATCAAAAATTTTTTTGTTGTTGTATTCAAAAATTCTTTTGTTAAATTTTTATATGCACTCACATTCCTTGTTTTACTCTTTCAGACTTATAAAGTGCTTTTCTTGTTTCTTCCGAGAGTAACGTAATTCAGAGTTACTGTTCTAAACTAAATATTCAATTTGTTTATTTGTAGTTTGAAGGAACATTTTTACTAAGCTTCTTAACTGCAAAATTTACTGACAAAATAACAATATGCGTCCCACATTAAATAATTGTTAGCTTTTACTGCATATTCAAAATATAATTATGCATTTCCCCTCTTATTTTGCATTGTCACTTAGTTTTAAAATTTGATATTAGAGCTAATTACAATTAAATTACAAGATATGAAATTTTATACCGGATTAAATTACAAAATTGGCTAAACTTTTGAATAAAGTAGAGATAAGCAGGGACTTAAATAAGCATTTTGTAAATTGTTGATTTGAAAAAACCTAATGTTGCAGTTATTATTTCTATCCATTTGGTTTTGTCTTCTTGAATGGAATTGTTTTTCATTATTCCGTTTTGTCATCTTTCAAATGGTGTATTGGGTTTAGATGCATAACACATTAAATTTGTTTGTAAAATTGTGCATGTTAATGCAAAATATGTCTATAAACTTCAATGTTGTAAAATGTCTAAAAACGTTAATTTAGCCATTTTTATTTAGCTATTTAGGCTTAGGACTCATGTCAGCCAGGCATTCTATTTTACAGTTTTCCACAGACCGTTCAGGTATGTGAATTTAAAGATTATGATTTATCTGAGGAGGATTATAATTATGATGGACAAAAGTTATTTTTTGATTTAAATTTATGAGTACTTTCTTTTCAAAAAAAAATAAATAAATAAGAATTTATGAGATTTTAATTAAAAAAATATTGAAAAATGCTTATTTCCTTTGAAAAATCTTATATTTTATTTATTTGACTACAATTTTTTATACTTATACTGCTAGTATTTTACTGAATGAATTTTGTTTACATGTTGTTGGCAATTGGAAATTTGGCTCTTTGCAAACTACTGCTGTCATTTGTTAGACTGATTGTAACAAGCCTTGTAGATGTCGACAGTTTGTTAAAAGCAAGATTTTGCAATTAGCCTGCGACATATATGTATAGTTTGTCTATAGAAAGAACTTGCCTCACTGCAAAGTCTAATGCTTACTATTCAGGGGTCTGTTTAGAAGAAATTTGGGTCAGTTAACGGACCCTTCACAAAATGATTTTTCTTTTAAACGGACTCTTCACAAATTTGTTTATCTTCATTATTGTTTTATTAATCGAATAAACCCTTCCCAGGGGGGAAAACAAGAAAGATGGATGTAAACAAATTAAGTTTTATCTTCGGCTGACGCTTCTTCCATTATTCGTCCGAAATGAATATTCTGCTTTCAGCAGTATAGGCAAAATACCAAATATTCGTATGTTGCATCTCTGATTTAGTAGCAGCAATTGCTGTTTATTTTTGAAAATTTAATTTTTTTTATTATAATTTTACAGTGCTGAGCNATTTAAAAACTTCTTGAAAAGATTTTTAGCGATTTTTGCAATAACAGGACCCTCATTGCACAAATTCACAATAGCATGACCCTGATTGAGAGTATGTGACTTAATGCTTATTTTATATTCACAAATTGTGAGTAGTTTTTTCACAATTTTACAAAAACAGGACCTTTCACAAAATGTCTGGACAGACCTCTGCTATTGCTATGGAATCAAGAAAGAGCACATTTCAAAGAGGGGAGCTTTTCTCTTCTGCCTTCTTTTCTCTTGCTGACCCGAGCAAGAACCTGTCTTAAATATTGCTTAAACACTTCTATTTGAAATAGTTAAATCTTGTAATCATACTTACTGCCACTGCTCTCAAAAAATGGAGAGGAGAGTTTTTTCCATAAACAGACTATGTATATTACGCGATCTACAAATCTTATGTGTTTGATCAACCCAGTGTCTAAAAAGTCATCCAATATTGTTGTGAAATTTAGGATAAAATTATAAAGTTGTTCATAAAATTAATTTTGGAATGAAAATTATTATTGTCTCTTTATTCTTTCGATATTTTAATATTGCTCAATATTAATATTGCAGTAATATTTTAATATTACATATAGATATCTTAATATTGCTTAGTATTAATATTGCAGTGAAATTGTGGATAAAATCATAAAGTTGTTCAGAGTGGCTCTTAAAATTTGTCTTCGATTAAGAATTATAATCGTCCCTTTATTCTCTAAATATTTGAAAACTTTTTTCTTGTTTAAAATTTTTTTTCCCAATACATTTTAAGTAATTTTTTTTTAATCATCTCATAAGGGTCACATTATTCAGTTAAATATGGATCCCACAAATCCGTGGTACCCTAGTATCTTTCAAATTTTTGTTTTGTTTAATTTCTGAGAAATGTAACCAGTTGATTTTGTTTATGATACTGTTTGATTTCTTTGCATGGTTTACATTATAACATGTTTTGGGCGCAGTATTATTTTCTTAGAGTTCTGTGTTCAACTCTATATATAATCAATCAACTCAGAGCTTTTATTTCAATAACCTCTGTAAATCTGTTTTGATGCATTTATGTTTTTTCTATAATAAATAAAGAGATAAAATAATTGCCATAAACATCCTGATAATTTTTATCATGCAGTGCACACAAAATCAGCCTTTTGATCTTATGCAAATAGCTATATTGATAAGATAAGATAATCAAATAAATGAATTCATGAATATTTTTCACAATAATTAAGATATTTGAATGTAAAATCTAACCAAATATATTATTTCCAATTTATTAAATCATTTATTTCATTTACATTATTTATTAATTATTAATCTATGAGAATAATTTAATTTGTGATTGTTTTTTAGTCCCTCTTGAAAATAATGGAACGGTAACATTTTCAAGCTCTTGTATTCATCCTCATGATAAAACAGTTTGGAAACATGACTTGAAGGAATATATAGTCATGTAAGTTTTAAATAAAAAACTTTTTTTTAAACAAACATAATGAAAATCTGAGTTAAAATGTGATAACCCAGATTTTGTAAAATTATCATTATTGTAAATAATCACATTCAATAAGGCATTTCTTTCTGCTTATATTATGTTCAGCAATTGTTAAACAACAAATATTTAGCAATAAGTTTTAAAATTTGAAAAATGCACTCATAAAAATATTTTATGCTTATATAAAGTTGTTTATCTCTAAACTGAAAAATGTGGATTATCTTTTTTTATTTTTGGAGTCTTTTCTGATGCATAGTTTAGCTTCGATTTTGCCTTCTTTAGTTTCTAAGTAAAAGCAAAAAGTAAATAAAGTTTGATAATACAGCAAATTTTCCAATTTTTTCTTACACACTTCTAAGATTTTTATTATAAAATTTGAATTAATAAATTGTGTAAGTATAACAAATAAATTAAACTTGAAGAATTGTTTTTAAATATTTTAAGAATTGTACAATATTTTGTGAGAAATAGTTTTTTTTTTCTTTAACAAATTATGTTTATTTCATCAATTTAAGGCTCTTGTGCTTATAATTTGCACTTATAATTATGTTTATAACTGTATTATTTAAAAATTTATTTTATTTTATTGCATTCATGCAATTTAAATTCTGCATCTCATATTGGATGTAATAATTTTATGAGATTCTGGCACCACATAATACAAATAAAGAAATGACTATTTTTAAATTTAATATCTCATTTGTCTCAAACTTTTTTTTTATTAATTCACCTGATATAGTTTATAGTACTTTGAGTTTGACGTAACATAAACATGAAGGATTAAAGGCTTATTTTCGTACGTATGAGGTATGGACAAAATAAAATGAATCTATGCCTGATACTTACAAATATTGCTATTTTGACAAAATTATGCAATGGTGAGCACCAACCACTACTAAACTTGACCAATTAGCTCTGGATACTTTCTAATCAAAATGCCCTAACTAATAGAAAAATAGTTTCTTCTTTTCTTTCAGCTTTTGTATTTTTTTAAAAAATTTTATACTTCTCTATATTTTCTTCTCATTTTTGTTTCTGTTTGCTATTTTGTCTCTTTTTTTCTATTTATCTTGCCTTCCAACATTAACCATTAACCGATAAATGCCCTTCAGGGGCATAGGTGCGGGGTTAAATGTTGGTGTGTTTGCTTAAAATACTAAACAATTTTCTTGCTGTATGTATATACATTTATTAATTGTAAAATAAACTAAAATAGATTAGTCATGTATATTTAACTGCATTTAAAGGATGGCTACAAAACATCAGGGAGAACAATCAGAGAAATATCAGGGTATTTAAACACCATACTCCAAAAGTAAGGGAAAATGAGTTTGAGATTCTGGGAAGTCTAATATGTTTTCTTGAAGTAATTGATCTTGTAATACATAAAAAATGGGTTATTTTTCAATTCTAATAGCTAGTTTTATCATACATTTTATGCAATATTTATTATAGATAAGGCATAACTGAAAAATTAATAAAATTTTTTAAAAGTATTCGTGCCTACCTTGATGTATGAATTTCTTTCACGCATTGAACCCTGATGCTAAAATATAAGAAAAAAAATGGAGAACATGCTTTTTCATAAAACAAGTTTGAAATTAACTTCTGAATTTTGCACCATTTATTGCTATTAAATAATTTGGATTCACAGAAACAGCCCTATTTTTTTAAAAGAAAAATATGATTTATATCTGTATTTAAATTTTAAAATTTTATTGTTGAATGAAATGATATTTTCATAAATTTTTTTTTGTTATAATAAAAAAATGGAGTAAAATTTGTGAAAAATATGAAAGATCATTTTAGCATTCAAATAAAGAAAGGTTGACTTTGTGCGACGCATAATGTTAAAACACAGTGTAAAGCTATAAATATTGTCTCCTGTTTTTCAACACTGAAGAAGATGCTTTACTATAATTCCACTACAATATCTTTATATGACACTTGTGCTGTTTTACATTCTTTTAACTTTATTTGTTTTAACATTTTTTTATATAAAATAATATTACCAAATTTTTCTATTCAATTTTAACAGATGGTAATAGTCATAAGTATAGAGTGTTCAAGATTGCCAGGTGTTCGTAATAAAATATAAACTACTTTTTAAGTAAAATATAATTTTAAGCATATTAATAAAAAATATTAAATTGTAATAAAATATGAACAAATTTTTTTTTTGTTGCTTTTAAGTAGGAAAAAAAAGTTGTTAAAGAAGAATATAGATTTTGATTCAGTTTTAGTAATCAGCTTTTGGTAATGTTTACCTCATTGATGATCAAAACAATTTTTTTTTAATAATTGTATTTATTTATATACAAGAAATGATACTGATCTTTTTTTGCACTTAGGTTTTTTTTTTTATGAAAAAAAGGATGAAATTAAACATTACTTCTAAAACTTATATATATACATAAACTTCTTAAACCTCAGTCTTATATCTTTTGTCTTTACCTGTATGTTATGTTAATGTTTTGTCATTACCTTTGTTATTTGTACCTTGAGCTTGGTGTAACTAGTAATTTCTTGTAACTTGTATGCTGAATTGTCTTTAACATGTTCAAATTATTCATATTTTTATATTTAGTGTTTTATGTTAGAGATCTAGAGGATTTCAAAACAAATGAAAAATGTGAATGTGTAAAACCTTATTATCACTTAGCTTCAAAGTTTTACAATGTAAAAGTGTAATAACTAAAATATTTAGTATCCAAAATGTCTTTAAAAGAGCATTTCTTTTACCCTTCATAAAACTTATAAACTAAAATCCTTAAGCTACATAGTACTTTATAAATAATGCTTAACCTGATAAGCAGTTATGCAGCAATCTCTCCATTATTAAAAAGAAAGAAAGTCTTTTAATGAAGATGAAATTGTATTTGTTGTTAAATTGAAAGTTTTTATCATCTTTATGTTTACCATTTTATGTGATATAAATGAATTATTTCCTAGAGTTTTAGAAATAAGATTATGAGGAACCACTCAAAAATTACATCAGCTAGTTTTTGGTTCTTCCTTTTGTCAGCAAAAATAAGCAAATGACTAACCCCCCTACCCATGCTTGTGTAAGAAAGTCTAACCACCCTTTCTTTTGATTTACCTAATTTTGACTTTAATTCCAAATTTTAAAAATTTTTAGTCCTAAAATTTTTATTTCCTAAAAATAAATAAAAAATAAATTTTTTAGTCCTAAAAATAATGAATCCTGATTCAATTCAAATAAAAGATGTAATTGTATAAAACTAAATTTGTTATTTTTATTTAAAATTTAAAGTCTTTCTAAAGTAATTTTTTCCCCATGTTTGTTACAATTATTTTGCATTTTTTTTAAAAAAACTGAAAAGATTTAGACATTGGTGTCTTTTATAAGCATTGCTTTTACCTCTACTTTTCCCTTGTCAGCAAAAAAAGAAGACAAATAAAAAATCCCTCCCTTTTTTGCTGTTTACATAATATTTAAACAGTCCCTGAGTGTAAAATACATATGCAAAAAAATAAGAAAGTGATGAAAATAATTTGTTGTGCTATGATTATAATTTAGTGAAAACATTTAAACTCACAAGTAATATATTTATTTAAACCTAGACAAATTTTTGTGCTTTTTAGCTTATTTTTTTCGAGAGATGAAATGGCAGTGATGGTAAAGGCATACGTATAAAACATAAGTATTAAGTTTTTGATAATTAAACAATACTGTGAAGCCTCCAGGAAAAACTACCTCTGTGTAGCGACCTCCTTCTAAATTAGCAAAAAGAGTTATTTTAGAAAAACCAAGCAGCTCAAACAAGCAAACCACGACTCATTTTTTAAAGTAGTAATCTAATTTTCATGATATAAAATTAAATGCAAACTTAAACAAAAAACATAATTGTCTTTTTTTATTTAAAATAGTTCTATCACTCTACATAATTATATAAGTGGAGATCATTTATAAGGGTTTTTATACATAATTATATAAGTGGAGGTCATTTTTATTGATTCTAAATTTCATTCATAGATCAGATTTTCATGATGTCAACACAAGTGGCATTTCTGCATCAATAAATTAACACAGATTAAAATTAAAATTGTTTGCGAAAAATCATATTCTTTCCATAACATTTTGAAGTCAATGGAGGTAACTCCTAAGAAGAACCAACATCCATTAATGACAATTTAAAAATGAAAAAAGTAGAAAAAAACTTATTTTTTAACTAATAATTTTTAATGTTAAGAAAACAGAAAGTTAAGAGAGTAACTCTTAACTTTCTGTTTTCTTCACTAGTTCAAGTTTGATTGATCAAGCTGTTGATTTATTATTGCCGTCATTTTAATCCGTTATTGAAGATATACTATGTGACATCGGAACTAGTCTTTTAAAAAATATGCTATTGTTATTTGAAAATATGCTATAATTTATACGGCCTCTGTTAAAATATGTTCTTAAATATTTTGAGTAATTAACTAAAAATATTTTTATTATTAAAATATTTTAAATAAATATTTTTAATGATACTAATATAGTGGTTTAACCTGTGAAGTTAAGTAACACAGGGTTATGTAATTTAAAAAAAAAATATGTATACAGTTTGCAACTCAAGCGTGAAAAATTACAAAGAGTAGAAGAATATTTTAATTAATTTAAATATGATAAAACCATCTTGGCAAAAATACCAATTTAAAACCATGTTTTGAAAAATATCTTCCTCATTAACAAGCTTTACTAAAGATTTAACTATTTTTTGTATAATTAATTAATAATAATTAATCTATGTATTAATATTTAAATTTTGTTTTTTTAGGGGTAGAAAAAGTGGAAAGTATGGCTTTAAAAATTGCTATTATAAAGCAGTTGAGTTCCTGGGAAATGCAGTTCATAGACCAGAAGAACTTATGAAACGAGAAATATATGTGCTTTCGTATTATTTTGATCGTGCCTTTGATTTGGGCATTATTGGTACGTATTTCGGGAAGAGTCTTATTGAATTGTAAAAGAAAATTGTTTTAAACTTTTTAAAATTTTTATTTATTTTTTAACCTGGAAACACATTAATTCATTATTTATATTTTTGAATGATTGTTATTGATCAAAAATAATTTTTTCTTCTCTTATATCCAAGAGCATTATTTTTAAAATGTTAACTTTTTTAAATATTATGTAATTAAGAATTCAAGTTTTTTTTCACAATTTATGTCATGTTTTGGTCATATCTTACAACTTTTTACATAAGTATTAAATTAGATATTATAGGAATTAAATTTTTAGATCATTATCTTTGTAATTATCAGGATTATCAGCAGAATTATTATCATTAAGCTTCTTAGAAATTTTGTCTGGATTTTATTAGGATTATCATCTGGATTCATTAGGGTTATCAACAGGATTTTATTAGGATTATCATGAGGATTATTAGCATTGTCAGGAATGTGTTATGATATGTATATGTTTTAAGTGTTGATAAAATAATAAATAATATAATCCAATATAGCTTAAAAATCTATAAATTCAATCTAGTTTAAAATTATAGTATTAATTTCTAAGCCGTGCATCATTTTTAAATAAACGAAAACAAAAGGCAATAAGGTTGGAGATTATCTAAAATGAGAGAAAAATAAAATTCAATAAATTTTTTATGAAATTAAAACAAATGTAGTTTTCTTCCAGCATTTTGCGTATACGAATATTGTAAAATGTAGTTTGAAATTGCATAAAGAGCTGTTGCTACATTATATTCAAATTTTATAAATACAATTCATTTAACAAATCACATACTAAACATATGTACAACTACAAATCATTTATTGAATCCACAATTACAAATAGCATTTTAATTTTCATTATCAATTACTGTTAAGTATGAATACTAAAGTTACTCTTAAAACATGTGGTATATTGATTTTAAAATTTAATTTAAAGCTTAATTTAAAACTAAAATAATATGAAAATAGTAGATGTGAAAATCTAACTTTTGAGTACTATATCAAATTTCAATTGCTAATTAAAACTATTCTTAATGTTTTACTGAATTTTAACTATTCTTATAATACATATTACTGAATAATTAATTGTATTTCTTCAATTATGTCCATTTTTATTTTTAGTGTTCTAGAAAGAATAGGTTTCTTATGCACAATATTACAATCCTGTAAAATCTATAAATNAAAATCTAACTTTTGAGTGCTGTATCAAATTTCAATTGCCAATTAAAACTATTCTTAATATTTTATTAAATTTTAACTATTCTCATAATACATAATTGTATTTCTTCAATTATGTCCATTTTTATTTTTAGTGTTCTAGAAAGAATAGGTTTTTTTATGCACAATATTACAATCCTGTAAAATCTATAAATTAAAATGTAATCTATGAATATGGACATCATATCATCATAAATCACTCTGTATATCAGCCCTAGATTCATAATAATCTAAGACAGCACAAGCAATTGCACTTTTAAAACGTAAAACTTGGGAAAAATTGCTATGTTTAAAATTTTTTTATTTTTTAAAAAGAAAGTTAAAATTTCTTTTATCTGTTTCAGGTAAAGAGGGAGGCATTCGAACTGTTGATGAATTCGTAAATTCTTGTAAGCATTCTTGTTCCTCTAAACAGCCTAAAGAGATATTTTTGTGCCTTGATTGTACGTACATTACTGCTCTCATGAAACATGGACTGGGACTGGATGGAAAAAAAGAATTACGAGTAAGTTTTATTTATTTAATTTAAATTTATTTATTGTTTCTTATTCATAACTCTTGTTAATAATAATAATGAATTTAAATTTCTGGTTACTTTTGAAAATATGCGATTTTCTGCATTAAATTGCATATTTTTCAATTCACTGAATTATTCTAATAATTTTTCAAACTTCTGTATTGTATTCTATAATACTGTGTTTGAAATGTGTTGCTTTCCTGACTATTGTTTCAGTATGGAATTGTTCCACCCTAGAGGCTAACTAGAACACTTGCTTATTTACTATCACTCACCATAATATTATCAGGCTTGAAATTTAGGGGGTTTAGAACTACGAAAATTTAACATGGACCAACATAAGATAATTATCAGTGGTCTCCCTGACAAGCAATCCGTGTAANCATATTTTTGTGTTGATTTCTTAATATAATTTTTAATTTTTCACAAATTACGTCTAAATTTTCACAAAATAGGTACCTGTCAGAAAAACCTAGACAGACCCCTGATAATATTATCAGGCTCGAAATTTAGGGGATTTAGGACTACGAAAATTTAACATGGACCAACATAAGATAATTATCAGTGGTCTCCCTGACAAGCAATCCGTGTAAATGCGTGGTTTTTTGATTTTCATTTCCTGTTTTAGTTTGTGTTAGTATTGTTACAAAAAAACATATTTCATCAAAATTATGAACATAACATATTTTTTGTATTGTAATTTTTTTATTATTTAATTTTACTTTATAAACTTTTTATTAAAGCACAAAAGATTCTAATAGTCCATGTTCATATTAATAGTCCATGTAAATTGTTCAGTGAAAATGTGTATGGACTTTTAATATTCTTTAGTCATTGGTTTGTGGATCAATAAGTAAATTTTCTAAATTTCTACCCATGTATTGTGGTTGTTGCAACAACAACAACAATTATTTTACTGTTAATGAAATGAAGTTGTGAAATCAAAATTTTCTTGCAAATTAGTTTTCCAATTTTGCTTTGTTTTATTGGGAATTTTAATCAAAGAGAATAGACACTCAATGTCTAGTCTGTCATAGAGGTGCAAAAAAAAGTGCAGAATTGCATGTGTTTGATCACTGGTTTAGTTGCTATTGGTAACTAATTGATGTATGGTTGGTTGATGCATAGTAACTAATTAATACGTGAAGTGATGTTGGCTTAGACATCTCTACTTTTTAGTCTTTTGTTACTTTTTATTACTATTAAAATTCAAATTAAATAGGATAAATTACTAATATTTGGGAATAAATGCAAGCTTTAACTATATAAGGATTAAATGTGAGTGGGATATTTTTCCTTTTTTAATAAATGTATTAAATATTAAGTATTATTCATTAAATATACTTGTAAATTATGAGATTTATGAGGTTTAATGAGATGAAATAATTATTTCTGTTTTATGCGTGAACTAAATCCTAATTTAAGTGTTAAAGCAATAATTCACATTATTTAAAAGAAATGACTTTCAAACCTTATTCAAATTATTTTCAATCTGTTTATTAATCAAGTTTTCAAACCTTATTCAAATTATTGATAAAAATTATTTGTCCTCTACTGGTGCATCCACAATACATCATCTATATTATCCAAAATATATGTTTTTTTTTTGCACACAGTAAAATGCGGGACAAAAAGCAATCTGTAAATCTTGTATATGAAAAACCATGTACGAAATTTTTTGATTGGGATTTAAAATAAGATAATTCGCATTCATCATTTTTATTCTAAGTCTAAAGTAATTCTATAAGTTCATTCTATTTATAACTTCTTTAATGTATGCGTCTTAATTTCTTTTACAGTTTGCTAAACAGATTGATGGCATTGAAACAAGTTGGGGCTTAGGTGCTGCTTTTAATATGTTAAGGTAGAAATGTTCTTGCATTTATTTACACTTTCATCCTAATAAATTTACATTAATGGAAGTTTCAATAAGAAAACTCTCCTTATAGCTTCTCTCTGTGATATGTATTTTCAAGAACTCATATTTTTATTTATTCATGGAACATTTAGTATTATACACGGAGTGACTTTTTTTTTTATTATTTAAACCTGTTAGCTGTGTCACAATAAATTATTTTTTAATCAGTCTGTTTGTTTATTTATGTATTTTTGGTTTATTTTGTGGCGCATGATATTTTTTATTGCAGCGATTTGATGTAGCATTTTCGGGTTTGAATCAGCAGAGTTACTAATATCTGTGAGTTTGAGTTGTGACTTTGGAATTAAGAGCAGCTTTTAAGAAATTTTGATTAATTCTTATTTTTGTGATTAATTCTTATTTTTGTGATTAATTCCTTTTTTTGTGATTAATTCTTATATTTTGGTGCATCTTTCTCACACATATGACCAGATTTTTTTCTAAAGACCAAATTTTTTTCTCTATTAGCACAGTACAATTATGCTTTGTAAAAAAGAAATGTTCATCGTAAAGTGCTTATAACAAGTGGCAAAACGTGTGTGGAGATGGCCAAAATCTTCTCCAAATAGAGAGGGAAGTGGAAGGGATGATCACACTCATCTATGTAATAGGTGACCCTATAAAAAGTCATGAAGTCGAGAGTCTAAAATTTTATTTTATAACTGTTGTTGAACAGCTGACCCAATTTTTGGGTTTACGACTACTAATGTTCAACTTTGTTGCCTTGTAATTTTGAACCTAATCCAGAAGACAGGAGAACTCCTAGAAAAAGTATTGAGAGAAATTTGCCTCCGTGGAGGTCTTTTTGTTGGAACAACCAGCATTAGCGTTACATGGAAAGGAAAACCTCTCACAGTTAGCCTGACGGCAAGGGAACTCTAACCCATGAACTGTCTACCTCTGAGGATATTTTACGTCAGTACTGTGGTTGGTGCAAGCCAGATGCGAGATTCATATCGACCAGCCACCGCTGGGATGTGAACCCGATTCACCTCAGTTGTAGGCAAACGCTCTATCCCCTGAGTCATCACGCCTCGAGAGTCTAAAATTGGCAGTAGCCCTATATCTAAGGAAGTTATTTGCCAGAGGATGAGTCAAAAATAAGTTTTTGCTGGACAGGTTGCAATGATAAACCGCCATTACTCAATCGCGCAGCTTAGGGAACACACATAGCTTAGAGAATGTTATAAACATGTGTAACACTACCTACCTGTAATTAGTGAATTACGTCTTATGATTTTGAAGTCTTGAGTGAAATCCTTATTATTATTATTTTTGCAGCATGGCAAACAATAATTAGGAATTCAGTCATTGGTCTGCTAAATTAGTGAGTTTGTTTTGATTTGTTTTAAGCCTAATTTAATCTTTTGTATAAACATTTTTGAGGATTTATTATAAAGTGAAAACAATTATTTAACTGGATGAGGTAATAAAAAATTCTGAATATTTTATTGCTTTATCATTGTAAATATATAATATTATTACAACATCTTAATTTCAAGCATATATAAACTAAATAAAAATATCTGATTTTCAGTTTTGAATGGTAGTAGAAAATCTTCAGTCATATTCTGTACTTCTGTGGAATTATGTTTTATTGGGCTGTTGTAAAGCATTCTTACTGTAGTAAGCTAAGAGCCACACCCAATGCCCAGCCAGTACCAATTCCTCTTATCTCTTCTGCAAACTAAAATGAAATAGGGAAATCAAATATTTACTCAACACATAATATATGTAAGAAAATTAAAAAACAATAATTTACTAATACAATAATGAAGTTGATATGGAAATGTATGAATGATCTATATGAATGAAACCATGTGATATGAGTGATATTTATTCTATTGTGTCGTTGTTTGTTATTCGAAACGGACAATATTTTTCAGAATATCTACTGAGCATCATTAAAAAAATATAAAATATTCATTAACTCTATCAGAGTTGGTTTTTAGTATACTGTATGTCGACTTATATTACTTAATAATTAGCAGAATCAAACTAATTATCAATTGTCATGAAGTTGTCACGTTTCTTCTTGAAAAGTTATATAATTAATTTAATTTGTTGTTTGATTTCCATAAATTAAAAACTGCAATATTTAATCGAGCTGATCCTCTAAGTCTGCCAATCCATTATTAAATTAAGCATTATTTATGTCAGGAGGTAGAGCTTTCACCTTCCAATGAGATGAACCGAGTTCGAATCCCAGTGATGACTGGTCGATACGAATTCCGAATCCAGCTCGCACTGACCACAGTTAAATATCCTCAGTGGTAGACAGATCATGTGTTAGAGTCCCCTTGCTGTTAAGCTAACTGTTTTGTGGTTTTCCTCACCATGCAATGCAAATGTGAGTTAGTTCTATCAAAAAGTCCTCCACGGGAGCAAATTTCTCTCAATACTTGATCCAGGAATTCCCTTGTCTTCTGGATTGGGTTTAAAATTGCAAGGCTGAACATTTTAAATCATAAATCCAAAAATTGGGTCGACTGTTCAACGACGGTTATAAAATAAAACAAAATTTTCATCTGAAAATCCTGTTTTTTTTTTCTAGAAAATAGTTGCATAATATTCAAAAATGATATTTAGCGTAGTGTACTATGTATAGTATACAAAAAAGAAAAAAATGTGATCACCCTGGATAACTTTTGTTCGAATGATTGCAATTTTATGTACTTAGACTGAATCTTAACTGTTTGATCCCCTAACCTTAATTATGCTAATATATTAGTGCGGATGTTATTTTAAGTTTTCAAATGAGACTCATAAAATGGTTGGCTCAGTTTTAATATCTTTTGAGAAATCAAATTTGAAATATACGATATTTTTAAAAAAATTTATGGTTTAGAAACTCTTTAAGTAGTTTATTTAAAATTTTATATTTTTCCCTTTTAAAATAACATTCTTTAAAATGATGTAAAAATTTTTACACCACTGTATCAGAAAATTAAGGTAACAATAGTGTTCTGATTTTTTATTTTAAATATGGAGGAAAACATTAACTATTTCATTAATATAGATTGCAGGAAGTAAATTTTTTACTTAAATTTTATTTTGTTTAAATATTTTTGAAAATGTGGAGAGAGTATTTGTTTTGTATGTCATCTTACCTTTATTACCATCTTGCTATCAAGTCCTAATCCGTGTATCCATAATGCTGAAATATAACTGCAATCAAGGCATGTGAATGTTGAGAGGATTTCATATGAGTTGCAGAAAGATCTGCAGGCATTGACAAATTCACCAACCGTACAAACATCATTTTTGTTATCTGCAAAAAATAAGGAGAAATAATTAATGACATAAATTCTCCTGGTTTGAAATTACATAAAACAAACATTTAGAAAGTCCAAAATAATATGAGTTTAAGATATATTGGAGAAGCATAATAGTAAAAATTATACTAAGTGATTAAAGTATCTCCTGATAAGAATAAATAGCTTCCCCCAACAAAAAGAATATAAAAGTGTGTATTTGTTACATGCAAGCTATTGTCCTTAAGTACTGGTCTTCATATGCAAATTTTATCTTAAAATATTGGCAACAAAGGATTGCAATCTTGTCGAGTAGATCTTATAATGAAATGGACTCATCGAGTAAAGGAACTACTTGAAATAGAATGCTTCTAGTTTTCAATATAAATTGATCGTTGGGGTTTTGAAACATAATATCAGGATTTATTAATTGGTGTGGCATGTAGTTCAGTAACACCCAGCGTTTAATAATGCTTGGCTTAGCAAATGTTTTTTTTTCTCAAATCTGTCACTTTAAAATGAGTTTTTCTAATTATCAAAGCCAACTTGATCATAATTTCTCTGTTCTTTGATAGCAAATTTGTAAATTATATTACTTGTTTGAACTGAGCCACGGTGGCTCTGGAGATAGAGCGTTCATCTTTCACTGAAGCAACCCAGTTACGAATCCCAGTGGTGGCTGGTTGATAAGAACTTTGCTCCTGGCTTGCACTGACTACAGTGCTAACTCTGTTTTTTTAGACAGATCATAGGTGAGAATTTCCTTGCGGTCTGGCTAATCGTAGGGTTGTCCTCTCCGTGTAACACAAATGTGGGTTAGTTCTATCAAAAAGTCCTCCATGAAGGCTAGTTAGCTCCCATTGCTGGATTCTGGAATTGCCTTGTCTTTAGTGTGGGGTTCAAAAGTACAAGGCTACGGGTTTTGAACATTGATTATTGTAAATTCAGAATTGGGTCGCCTGTTCACCGCCAGGTATAAAATAAAATCTAAATTTTTTTTTAATCTGAAGTAAGGTTTTGTAAAATTGCCAAAATACGATGGCTAAGAGCATACGGTAAAGGTGCCATTGGCAATAAGAATCTAGTTTTTCTTTCTTTATTAGTTCAAGTTGAAGAGAGGATAAATATTTTAAGGATTTGAGAATGCTTAACTATTATATTTAATATTCGGCAGTTCTATATTAGTGTCGAGTGCCTAATTTTCAGCTAGCCATTTTTCTAGACAATATTACACACCCAAAATCTTCCGTTTTGTATTAAAATTATTTAAAATGCAGACTAAAGGTAAAGCCATAATTAAAAAATGTTGCAGTACCAAGCGCTGTACAGCAAAGACTGGTTCTTGAGCTTATAATTTTTATTTTTTCTAATCTAACGAACACAATGTTCGGGGAAGCAGTGATTTACTCTATGCTGTTGAAAAGTAAGATGCTTCAGACTTTTATGGGAGGTGATAAGAAAATTCCAATGTAGCTTTTTAAATGAACTATTGTTATAATGCTTACTTACCTATGGCACCTATTTCGTAGGCATGATCAAATTGACCTTTGAGGCCATAGAAATCTCTTCCTCCGAAATCAATTGATTTTAAATCAATAGAACTTCTCAAATACTCGGTGGCTTTGCGGTAACAATTTTCAAAACTGTACAGTTCGCTGCTGTTGACCCTGCAATGATTGTTTCTTTTTAGCTGGTGTACTTAAAAATTAAACATTAGATTCACGATTTCAACACCAAAAAGTATTACCGACGCGCCGAAAACAATATTCTCTTAAACAACTCAGCAGAGGCTCAATACATTAACATCTGAACCCTTCCAACGACTGCAAAGCTCTATAATCTCTTCATCATCACAGTCAAAAGTTCTCGTCTTATATTTTTGGGAGAGGGAAATTAGTATTTTGCCGAATTAAAATTTTTAATTTGAGCTAATCATAAATTATGTGTAATTCATTTGTTTCAGTAAAAAATTATTTTGTTTCTAGTGCTTCCCAGTATGCTTTGTTCCACCACTAATTTAATGATTTTATATATAATTATTCTAGTAAATGAGCAGTGATTGGTCGGTGAGGAAGTCACGGGTTGAAGCCATTCAGATCGATAGGTACCAGTTTGTCTAGGAAGTAAAGGCGGCTTGTGCGTAATGTGGACCACTTTGGCACAATCAAGCCGTTGGTGACGAAATTAAGGACAGGGTGCGTAGTGTTTTTTAGAGGTGCTTATTTTCGTTTTTTAAAAGTCCTTAAAGGTGCTTTTTTCCATGGATGTTTTTAAAAAGTGCTTGATTTTCCCTTTTCCGAAATCTAATATTTTTCTGTACCATGTTGATTTTCGCCACAAATTATGCAAAAAGACATTGTTCTATTCAACGTTTTCACAATAAATTCAACCCCAATCTATTTCGACGTACCGCCGGTGTGTAGTGTATGAAAGCACCATTTATTTGATGAAATACTTGCGGGTCCGCACTTGCGTATACTGAGCTGGATTCCGTGGTAAGGATTTTTGACTCTCATGTGCAACCCTGCTGCAGAGAGAGCAGAGATTCTGAATTTCAGACTTCATTTTCTACCCTCTGTAATAGAATCGAAAAATCTCATTTTCGGCTCTCTGTAATCGAATCGAAAAATCTCTCGAATTTTTGCTGATTACGGGAACCAACCATTGTCAAATTTTTTTCTATTAGTGATAGAAAATTTCATTTCTCTTGTTAATTTCATCGCTTGTGACGCTCCATTGTCTTCGTCACTGTAAATAAAGCCATCGATTGTCAAAAACTTGCCAACCCTGTCTGAATACGATATTTTTCCAAGTGCTTAAAAATATATTTTAAGTGCTTGAAAAGTGTTTAAGAGGTGCTTGTTTTTTGTTGAAAAATTTGGCTACGCACTCTGTAGGAGTTTTAACCTCCATGTACCCTTTGACCACAATGAGATGTCATTTTCTTTTTATTCTGGTAAGTAAATAATGAGCCATTTGATAAGTAATTGTTAAAAAAAAAGAGAAATAAATTAGTTCATTTCCATATGTTTCTCAGGGATTACAAATGAAGTAGAATGCTCACTCAATCATCCGTTTCTTGAGATTTCCTTCCCAAAAAAATTTGTCAAGTGGATGAAAACATGGATGTAGAACTTCATATGTGCCATTATTTTCTGCAATAGCTGAAACAAATATTTATGTGGAGTATTTCTATTGAAATGCATATAAAAATATACAATAATGAGCAAAATTAACACAAGCTAGCAGTTTAAAAAGAACAAATGTAATTAAAATAGTTAAGTCAGTATTTGAAAATGACAGGAAAATTAAATAATAAAATTGATCAAATTTTGGTAAAGTTCAGCTATTAAAGATTTAGTTCGTAATCCCATCTCCCTCCAAATTGTCTTCAAGTGTTTAATAATGTTTATGATAATTTGTATATGGACCAGATTTATGAAACAGTCGCGAGCAATATTATTGAAAGTTGAAGCCACAGAAAATCGGAAACATACGACAGTTTATGATTAATGTGATCATGAAAATGTGATGTAAATTTTATTTCTTCATCATTGCACAATGCCGGCGACTTGAAGACTTTTTAGAATAGTAGCTTCGGTAGCAGAACTTATGGAGTGAATCTGCAGCACTATCTTCAGAAATTCAAATTTGTTTGTGATCTTAACATAGTCTGACAGAGTTTTTTTTATTTAGCTAAAGTCTGTCTAAAGTAAGAACTCTCCTAGCCATTCGTCTGAACCTGTGGCGGTGACTATGGCAACGATGTATAACTATTTCATGTAGGGGTGTGGGGTCACTGTTTAAGACAGGTTTTGGCTTGGTTCCGCGAGAGACAAGGAATCTTTTTCTTCGGTTTATTATGTTAGCCCTTGAGTGAAGAGAAGCTACCCTCTCTGAAATGCGCTATTCTTGATTCCATAGCAGCAGATGGCTTCAGACATTGTGGCGGGGGTAGTTCTTACCGTAGACAAACTATAAATACAGCAAAATTTGCAAATAGCAGGTTCTTAGAAATCAAGCATAAAAACTTAAGTTGAATTTTATACAATTATGCTAAAAAAGTGGAAAAAATTCCGACACAGTTTAACCTGTAAGGGTGTAACAAAAAGAGAAAAAAAAATGCCTTCCTTTTTGCTCTTTGCCTTGTTTTTTCAATCCAGGTTTCTAATTTTTAGTAAAAACAAGTTTAGAGATGTTTTTAAAAGTGTCATAACAACGCATTACTAAGCGTAGTGATTTTTCTGAAGCCATGTTAGGGAAAAGTGATGTGAAAAATTTTTTAATTTTATACTGATAGTGCTACAAAGTTCACAACCTATGCTGTGTTTAACTAATTTTTATTTTTTTTAAAAATTGACTTCATTTTAAAAATGCACTTCATTATATTTTATGTTTTAGTTACTCTAACATTAAATGCACATAAATATAATTTTTATTTTTATATAATTTTGCAAAATACAATATTTCAAATAATATGCCATTAAATAAACTAAATAAATTCTGATCTACGGTGAGATCAACAACAGAGAACAAAGTAATTAATTTTTGAGTTTCTTAATTAACTATTTCATTACTAAGTAAGATATTTTTAATTAATTATTTCATACCCAAGTAACCAGATGAGGGAGGCATTAGGGAAAGTCTTGCACTGACTCCTCCGAAACCTGCATAACTAATTTCAAATCAGAAACTAGAAACATTTAAATTATTAATTATATAAAGATTATAAATTACGAAAAACGTTATGCCTTACAAGTTCAGTGAAAAATATATTTTAGGAAGTAAGTAGTTATTTTTATAAATGTAATAGTTACATAGTGATTTCATTTATGATTCCTGATCATTATTGCGTTTAGAGTGTTTTCAAGTAAAATGGTGACGAGTTCGCTATATCAACTCAAAACATTTCTAATACATCGCTAACTTTCTGATATTAAAAATACTATGGATCTTATTCTGCTATTAAAATGGCAAAAAAGTCATAATCTATTAGATATATCAGATTAATATATCTTTATAATAATCTGATCTAGTGACCCTTTCGAGTCTAGTGACTGGCGCAGTGTAGCCGTTTCTGGCTCTTGTGCCAATAAACTGAAACCAATCAACCAATAAACGAGAATTATTGCGAATCACCCTACATTGGTCTCTCACTTAGGCATCTTTTTTCGTAAACGATTGTTTGAACAAGTGCAGCAAATTTTAAATGTAGAGGTAGCACAATTTTGGTAGCTCTAAATTCAGCATTTTTTTAAAAATTTATAACTGTTGAACAGCCGACCTAATTTTTCAGTTTACGGCTACTAATGTTAAACTGCGTAACCTTGTAATTTTGAACCCAATTCAGAAGACAAGGGAACTCGTGAATCAAATATTGGGAGAAGTTTGACTTTTTGATGGAACTAACTCGCATTTGCGTTACATGGAGAGGAAAACCTCCCATGGTTTGCCCGATGGCAAGGGGAATTTTACCCTGAGTCCGTCTACCACTGAGGATATTTTACGCCAGCGCTGTGGTCTGTGTCAGCATTGCTAGCCGGATGCGGAATTCGACCAGCCATAGTTGGGATTCGAATCCAGTTCACCTCATTGGAAAGCGAACTCTCTATTCTCTGAGCAATCACGGCCCCTAAATTCACCATTATCAATATTTATTGGAGAAAATCCATACTGTCACATTTTTTCATCCACAAAGCCATTAGTTTTCTTTCATCAATTTAAATTTTACTCCATAACAAAATAGACATCTATGAACTTAGTTGTTGGAGCGGTATAGCCAAAACTGACTCTTTCGTCTACGACTCACAAATAACTAACTTTCTTTGCTTTCTCAAATACGTTTTTTTAAGGACCCGATTCAGAAATCCAGGACTAAAGACACAGAACAGTTGGCAGGGGGTCTTACAAATCATAATCTTGAACCTCTGTTTGTATACAAGATGCTTTTGAATGATTTAAATCATAAGGTGATTTATGACCAGGACTCGAAAAACCGCCCGTCCGTCCGTCCTCGGCCGTCAAAAATTCCCCGCGGACAACGAATTTCTCGAATCCGACGTCCGCGCGGGCGGCCGTTTTCCCGTCTTGACCTCTGTCATTTAAATTATTTCATAAAAGAAATAAATTATTTCATAAAAGAAATACTAGGTTCCTTTTTGTAACCTAGTATTTCTTTTATTACTGTATGATGTAATCGTAGTATTTGTAATCCTAGTAACTACTAATTCATTGTGCAATTTATATAAATGTTTGTAATAAATAAGAGAAAATTATATATTTTTTTATTTAGAAGCTACGGGTTAGTTTCAAAAGAGGACGGGTACATTGTTGGACAAGCCATCCTCGGGGACGGGTAAAATTTCGGAGGTTTTTCGAGCCCTGTTTATGACATAAAGAGAATTTAAGCTTATATTTAGATTTCAATTTTTAATTCATAGTTTCAGTAGATCTTTGTTCAATGAAAACATACATTGTTTTCATAAGTTGAGGAGTTAGGTCCTAGGATAAATCAGACACTGGTTAGGGCCACGAATAAAGATGAAAGACGACGCTTCTTACTAGATATAATTGACTGTTGAACTAATAACTTCTAACTGAATTATTTTTAATTGGTCACATGCCTCATTATTTTGCTTAGATTTATAATCATACCTCTATTTATTATCTGATGCAAATTATAAGAATAAATATGGCAAAAGATTTGTCATGACATTGTTCAAATATATAACGTAAGATTTTATTATACTTAATTTTTGTCAGCGATACAAATTTTGGGATTGTGCTGACCAGCCTCTGTAGAGGTCAGGGAACTGCCCTTGCATCAGAAAGGTTCTGGGTTTGAATTCTGGGCAAGGCATGAATGTTCTTTCATTCTCCGTATTATCTGTCCTTACTGTGGGAGCAACGCTGGTTCACTTAATATGGTGCCCCTAAAAGAGTGGACAACAAATCTATCCTTCAGATGCCTGTGTGACGAAAGGTCATTTTTCCAAGTGGGCATTGCAAAAAAAAAATTCGATGTTGACATTTTGATGTTTTTTGTCTATGTAGAAAGTCCTGTAAATGCCACACTACCACCTTTTAATCTCTGTAGTTATATTATTGTGCCAAATGAATGACATTTTATGGGCCATTCTCACTTACTGCATGCGTTTCTCGTACCTCCAATGACCACAGAAGCACACCACAATGATTGTTGAAATATCCTACATAGCAACGCAAACGTTGTATTTGAGGTTTCTTCGGATTAGCACAATAAGGTTGACTGGCCAATTAATATTCTCACAAAGCAAAAATATTTCAATTCCAAGATTATTTTTTTAAAGATTGAATAAAAGCATGCTTAAACTTTCACAAAAAATATAATTTCTTAGCTTTTATTGCAAACCTTGTTTTTGAGTTTTTTTCCCTTTGCATATTTAAGATTCTCAAACGCAACATTTAAAAAAAAAATCACGTGAAGTGTTTTTAGATTCATTCTCGATCTAAAAGGGTCCCGCAGTGGACTGATCGTTAAGACACGGTTCCCAGCAGATCACCGAAGTCAAGCATCACTGGCTGTGGTCAGTGTGCGGGTGGGTGACCACTTGGATCAGTCTGCGTAGGGACCGAGGGTGTGCGGTATTGGTCCTCGTTAAACTGTGCTACCGTAAAGTGCTCGACTTCGCGCGCAGGTCGTCGGGCTACCGAAGCGGGGGTGCCATCCCCTCCGCAGAGGATCAAAATTGTGATGGCATGTCTTCGGATCATCCTCCGGGATGTTTCCCAGACCGTCGCCAATAGCCCATTGTGCAGCTCTAGTGCGACGTAAATTAACAACAAATAGAAAACGATCTAAAAGGTTTGTTTATGGAAACTTAAGGCTTACCTCATTGCGCGTAAGCTAGCGTAGCTAAATTTTATATTGTTTCAAGCCTGCGTGGTTTAGTTGCTAATCATTTATAAACCTCGTAGGGGTTTTCAACGTAAACGACCCGTTGATGTTTTCGAATAGAGGAATAATATTTTATTAGGGCAATCTATAATGTGTTCAAATTGATCTGATTAGTGTTGAATAGTGAAGGTTTTGCTGCAGAGGAAAAAATGTCAAAGACTTGGTTTAATTAAAAAAAATGAGTAACTGTTGATCTTACCTTCTGGTATATAACGATATTGGTTTTTGTTGTAGTTTAGGTAAAAGGTAGTAGTTTCTCGTATCAGCCGAGGGAGTTTTTGCACCATCTGATGATAAAGTAATTTCAAATGATTGTCCTCCTAAATCGGTAGAAATGGCAGAATGGCTGACATCGTTCAAACGACCTGCAAAAATATTTGAGAGGATCATGAACTATCAAAGAGTTTAAACTTTTTATGAACTTATTTTCTTAATTGAAAATCGGAGAATGATAAATGCGAAAATTATACACCCATTTCGCACGCAGCATTTCTGACCCAGTGTATGAAATTTAAATCTAAAAGACGACAGAACTTTAACTACGACTTTTTGACTTTATCATTTTTACTTGGAGACACACTTTATCCAAACTTGATACTCTACCTTAAACATATTGGGTTTTACAATTTGATTTAGTTCTTGTTATAACCAAGTTGACATTTTTTAACTAGATATTTTTATTTTGGACAAGTTGTTAATTTTAACCTAGTTGATTTTAACCTAGATCTTAATCAAGTTACAGCAATGTTTAATTAGTTTTGGGCGAGGTATAGCCAAACCATGGTTTTTGCGCCTAAAATTTCCATAAATCAATCGAACAATTCGCACGCAGACATATTTTGTTCTATAAATGAGCCTATTTCAGTTGTAGCGAACCTCTAACTAACTGTTAAGCATACCTAAGTGTTAATGTTATCCTAACCCAGTGCAATGTATTTAAGTTTCAAAGACAATTCCGATTGGGATGCAATTATCTAATGCTGCTTTTATTTATTGCAGACAGGGCTTTATTGTCGGATAGGATTACGGTGCCTGGGCTCAGTGTCTGTAGGAGTATTAAATGTTTGTTGATAAGTTTGTTCTTCTTTTACCGCTGATTAATATTTGATATGCATGCTACTACGTTGGAAGGATATAATTAGAAATTTGAAAGTTTTTATCAACATTAATAAAATTCATTTTATGTATTTATAAATGGCATTACAATATTTCAAACATTGATACACATTTATAAATTATTTTTTTGTTAAATGTATTAATTAATTTCATGAATCTTATACGAGACAAAACTGTGGAATTGCTCTCAGATTTTCTAGTTTATAAACACATTATTAGTAAGATGTTAGCATAAAAATTTATGTATTTACCCAAACCTTCGAATTAGGTGGTTTATTCACCAGAAATGATATTTTGCAAATAGTTTTTGTAAATCTAAGTTAGTTTTCTTGTTTCTTTAAACTTCAACAATAATTTAAGTAACTAGATAGGTGTTATTACAGAAAAAAAAGAGTAGATTACCTAATAAGAAATTCAAAGAGTACCATGCATAGATACCTGAAATAAAAAGTCATACATTTATTCTGACAGTAATTCATTTAAAGCATGCTATTTAACTTAAGTGACGTGTTTAAATGAATCATTTGTTGCATTGGTGTGTCGATACGAACAATGGATCTAGTAAAATAGTCCATGATTATAAATTAAGTTTAGATAAATGTTTTGAAAGGCGGATTAATTATAGATTATTTTTCAAAAAGAATTGATAATTAATGATTATTTTACAATTAAGAATGGATCAATGTTTATACCTTCTTCCTCTCCTTCGAGTATTGTTGCGCTATCATTATTGCAAAGGAAGGGAGATTTTTTAAAGACTTGACGTACCTAAAAGATGGAAAGTGATAAACATATAAACAGAAAATATCTAATGAGCAATAAAATCTGATTCTGTAAATATTAAGTAGGGAATCAATTATCTTGACCAAAAATGAATCCCCCTTGCTGAATTGGATAAATATCCATGTTAGTTATTAATTCAATTTCGAAATCTTCATATATTTTGAGTGCAATTCGAGTTATTCTGCGTGCTAGCGAACTATGATTCAGGTTCGGTTACAGCTTTCTTTTCAAAAATTACGAATTAACTGCGATTCTGATATATTTGTAGATCAATCCCGGTAGGATTGTTTAGAGTTTCTGTCTTCCTTAAAAATACCCGAATTTTATGATTCAATTTAGTTCTAATTTTAACCTAGCTGTTCTGTTCCAATCGTTGTTCAGAATTTATCACAGTTGCTGTAGTTTTAGTCTAGACGTTGGGAATTTAATCTATTTAGCCAAAAGTTTGTAATTTGATCAATTCTAGTACCCAAAGGTTGGATAACTTAGAATTCCTGCAATACAAAACAAATGAAATAAAATAAAAATATGACCACCGAAGCCGACGTCTTCAGGGGGTACCGGCCCCGGTAGCCATTAAAAACAAAACCATTTCTATTTGAGGGAGAAGCAAAAGCTTAAAATATCTCCCTCAGTACCCCGATGGTTTTGTATAGAGGTCCAGGAAAAACAAGATACATTCAAAAGAATAAACAAATTACGAAAAGAAAATCAATAAAAATCATCAGAAAATTAAAAACTCACAGTCACAGGTCAAGAATCAACTTCAAAAGCGGAGGAAAAGAAAACACT